GCCTCAGGGTGTTGTTGTGGAGCAGAACGGGTTCTCGGCTCCGCGCCGGACGTCTGGACCGCTTGGAAAGAAAAGCCAGAGCTCATGACGTCTGGCGAGCGGCAGGAAACGAGGCGGCCCGAGGACGCGCTGATCAGCCATCGCTCACTTTGACGCGCGCGCTCGTTCGTCTTCTGCTGCAAAGATCAAAGCACCAATCGCGCGAGTGCCGCACGTGCTCTTGATCTGCAGTAGACGTGCTGCTTTTTAACATCAAGACAAGTATTTGCACTTGGTTCCTTGCCACCACCGGATGACTCTCCTCATCAATATGGCGCGTGAACGCAATCGGGCCAACGTGAAGTCGGCAGCTTGGATGTTTCCCGAAGGACGGCGCCGATGATCCTTCATCCGCGTCGCCGCCGGACACTCCACCCTTCCTGGAAAATGAACGGGCGGAATCTCGAATGACGGATGCGCACGCCGTCATGATGGACTTAGAAGCAAATTGCAGGCAGGCCGCCATCCTGTGAGAGCGTCAAATCCAATTATGGGGCGTGGGGGAGGGGGGACGGATCTGTGAGTCAAGCCACGCTGGAGCGAGGCCCTGGCCTGCGTCCTTCCCGGTCCGCGTTGCCGGTTGAAGGGCCGTTTGCCGCGTTGTTCCTCTCGTGTTGCAAAAGCAGCTGACGACACGGCTTCGCTCAGGGTGACACGCCGGCCCAGCGGCTATATTTAAACGCCGCCTTGCAGACGTGGCACTGGTTGGGTCAAACGCCAGCTGACGCGGAGACTTCGGCGACGTACGTTGGTATCAATGGCAATGTTTGCAGCCTCGTATGTGCATCCGTTGCCAAAAATGGAATCACGGCAAAAAAACGTTTGTTCCGATCTACTTTCGACGACGGCATGTTCAACACTGACGACACGGCTTCGCTCAGGGTGACACGCCGGCCCGGCGGCTATATTTAAACGCCGCCTTGCAGACGTGGCGCTGGTCGGGTCAAACGCCAGCTGACACGGAGATTTCGGCGACGTACGTTGGTATCAACGTACGTGCCTCGTATGTGCATCCGCTGCCAAAAATGGAATCGCGGCAAAAAAACGTTTGTTCCGATCTTCTTTCGACGACGGCGTGTTCAACGCCGTTTGAATTTTTGTCAGGGAAACTTGAGCGAACAGCGTATCCGCTGGCCGTTCTGCATCGGGGCCATCGATGCGGGGCCCCGGCAGGGCCAGCAGATGGCGCCGCGCCGGGAAAAGGCCCC